TAATGCCACCAATTTCCCATCCAAGATCCAAAAGACCAAACCACCACAACATCACCGGAGGCCAGCACAAGCATTGCGGAGGATGAAAGGGTTTCACCATCGGAGGGGAAAGCTGGAAGCAGCAAAGCCAAGGAAGATGATAAACCCATAAGGAACCTTGGGTCTCAGATCAACAGAAATAAACAAGGCTAAACTCTCTGGTACCCAGAAACGCCAGAGAGCTATCGAATGGGCCAAAGCCAATGGGTAACCTATTATACCTCGCAAACCACGAGCAAACAGGAAACCCTAAACTCGTAAACAGGAATAGGGCACTTCAGGCCCTGGTTACGCTAAAGCACAATGAACTCCAACAGCTACTGCGAACCAGCAGCAGAAGGGGATTAAGAGAGTTCGCTCAGAGGGATAAACACCATCACCCACACAAAAACCCTAAAAAAATTGCTACAATCAAGCTGCATTACAGGGCCGCAACTAGGGGGTGGCGAACTAGGCGCTCGCCTAGGGCGCCGGAGTATCGGGGCGCCGAAGGCGCCTAATTTATTCCATCCATATTTCACAATCCAAAAAAATGCAACGGTTTTACACGTCATTTGTCGTAGCACGGAAATTTATTCTGATTGTGTTACATCTCTCTTTGTCAACCTTCAACAATACGAATATCCTCTGCCGCTAATTCGGTTTATATTTTGACAGCTGAATTGAGTGATCTAAAAAATCCTCTGCCGCTAATTCGGTTTATATTTTGACAGCTGAATTGAGTGATCTAACCCAACTTTTTTTGCTTGTTTGCCAACTTTTAGTTATTCTGAAAATTCCTGAGTTTCATTAATTATCCCTTGGTGCTTTTTATTGAGGAATTATTAGAAGTTGCTGTTCTTGCAAACGTAAATGGAGCGTAAACTAATTTTGACATAGTATAGCGTTACGGTAAGGCATCCGCTAACTCACGTTAGGTAGCGGGCTCCTCTAACGCTAATACCGTAAAAACTCTCATACTTGTCAAATAACGTTACGGTATTGGAAATTTGGACAGCAGGAGAACTCTCTATTATCTCTTTTGACTCTTTTCTATTTAGCCGTTTACGGAAACTTTAATCGGGTTAACCCGATCAGCAGCTAAATGTTTTCTATCTTTCCTTGATGAATACGATTGAAAAAAGACAAAATCCGTGTGCTGGCGATCGGGTTAACCCGATCATAGTTTCCGTAAACAGCTTTTACTTCTACAATAGCTTCGTTCGCGGTAAGGATTCTCAACTGGTTCGAAACTATTTCGCATGCGTGGTTCAAGTAATGGCGTTCGCGGATCACAAAATTCCGAACTTTTAGTTACGGTTCTGGATTCGCGGATCAACCAAAATCGGTTCGGAACCGTTTCTGAACCAGTTCTAGCGGTCCTAGGATTTTAGCAAAAACTTCAGGATGGACACATAACGTTCGTTTACGTATTGACAGTCTGGAGAACTCGATCCAAAACTGTTCGCGATAAAATAATGGCGTTTTCCATTTGTTGCACGGAGGTGCACTCAGTGCAATTTTTACATTCCATTTGACTGCACATTATCATACAAAAATTTCAATCAAAAACCAAAGCATCAAAAAATATATGTATTGTTACTTTTGAGAAGGCGGTGGAGGGGCACCAAAATTTGGATTTGCTTTGGGCGCCGAGGGTTCTAGTTGCAGCCCTGCTGCAACAAAACGATCTGGGGCTTAGTTATAGCAAGGTTGTTTCAGCAATCAAGATGACTATCATCACAAGCAGCCAGTTATACTTATTATACCGGCAATCGGCACTACAAAAACTTCGGTAAAAACAAAAATAAACCAGTGGGCGTATAGAGAACACCAAACTCACTGGCAGACTCTTCCGAAGCTCAGACACAGTAAGCTAATAGTATAACAACCTTTACCCAAACTTACTGAACAGATCCCACAACTAAATAGGAATGAAATCAGGCTAATAACTGGACTCTAAACCGAACATTGTAGCCTGAGGTAACACCTTCACACAATGGGCATCTTCCAAGAAGAACCCATATGCAGACTTGGTGACGAGGAGGATGAAACCGTCACCCACATAATCTTCGAATGTGAGGCTTTACGCTGGTGGAAATACAGACAGATAGGGCCAGAAGACCCTATCTCCATACTCACCAAAAGCCATACGGTGAAGAGGTTCCTAATCAAGGTCACGAAAGTTTTCACTGACTAAACAGACGAACAGGCCTGTTCACTTTGCATCCCAACCAACCAATCAAACAACTGTAGAGGACAAAAAGTGACAATGTCGATGTCAATTGAGCTTCAACAATTGAAAGCTAATCACGAAAATATAGATACAATATAAAACGTTGGATAACTCAATGATAAGTTGAGTGAAAATTTGAAGATACGGTACTGTAAAAAAATAGAAGATAATGTGATAGTCAAATCATGGCAAGCCGGTACCCGGTCTTTGTTCCGGATTCCACTACAGACGCGTTTCGGTGTTTTTGTATTTCGTTAATGCAGTGTAGATTCCTCAACGAAAAAATGAACCAGTTTAAATCATTTCCATGCGAAGGATTACCGAATAACCCAGTCGGTGTGCTCTTTCAGCGTATCCGAACACTATTCTCAAAGAATACCTAACGGAAGAAAAGTAACCGACCGCACGTGCGTAACGCTTAACCCAAATTCCCATCTACAAGTGGGCTATTTCCAAATTATTGCTCAATGCATGACGCCGGATTAAGTCAGATTGCGTAACCAAAAATCCCATATGTTTTATTGAAAATTTCATGATTTATCAGAAGAAAAAATATTTTGACAGCCAAATCTGCCCGGGTTAAGTGCGCCGATTCAGATAAAGCCAACCGTTATTTTGAAAAATGATTTGTAACTTTTTCTTAAACGGAATTTAAGCCTTCTATTTGGTAAATGGACCGTTATAAGATTTCCTCTAATAGCACTAAACACTGGACTTGAGCCATTTATATTATTTATGGGTTAACTTAAGCTCAAGCGTAAAATGTGTTGTTGGAACTTACCGGCGCTCCGGTAAATTATAAAAGATTCAACGGAAAATTAATTTTCCAAATTATGGCTTCAGTTTTTTCTAAAATTGGAAAATTGTTTTACCAACCGGTTTGTTCGTCAACTTTTTTACTTTAAAATTGCACACGATGTATAAAGCATTATCAGGTAAATATCCGCGGATAATAAATCGTATTTTCTTCGGCAGTTTCGAATTTACTAAAATCCAATAAACTGAAAATCAAGTCTCGGCACTTCACAAAAGAATGCCGAGGAAAATAAACTTATAGGAAAGTTGGAAATGGGGAGACGATGCCGCCGAAAAGAAAATTAAAACTGATAGGAAGCCTTGGGAGGTTGTCTTTATACTCTTTTAAATTTGTTTTGTTGAACAAGTATTAGATCTGATAAATAAATTTACTTTAACGGAAAGTTTGCAAATTTCCACGACGTGTACTCTATAACAGTTTGAGGAGATTTTGAAATGAACTTTTAATAAAAATCGTTTTCGAAGTAAATTTCAAGTAAATATATTAATTGACAGGATTTTTGAAAAAGTTATAGTCGGAAGTTTCAAAACGCAGAGACCGAATTAGCAATGATAAAAAAAGTATCTGACAGAGTTACGTATGCTTTCTAAGCCAATTTACCTACTTATACGACCTTCATGAATTTGTACAGAGAAAATAAATGTTTTTCTTTTCTTTCGAGCTCTTGAAAATCGTAAAATAAGTTTTGTAGACATAATATTTTTGAATTATCAAAACTTGAAACTACACTAAATTCCACTGAGCGAGGGAAATCTCCTACAGGGTCGCCTTAAAATTTATTCAGCACAAGTAATTATAAGATAGGTAGAGGTAGGTACATAGAAATCTTGATTATTGCAGTTGAAAAGTTGCTCCGTTTTTCCCTGGTGAAACTTTCTAGATTTTGTTTTTGTAAAAATTTAACTCAAGTTTTTGTAAATAGGAGAAAATTATTTAAGTCTCTTATCCCGTCATTAGTTCCAGGTTTAAAAAGTTTAATGCTGTAATGCTGGAGTGCTTTCACCGATTTCAGGCGTTTACGATAATTGTGCTTTACTATTTATTCTTGCAGGTATACAACATCAATGCTAAAATGTAACTAACCTTATTTGTTTCACACAACAAACTGAACAATTTTGTTCTTGTATAGAGAAAAAAACTACGATCGGAAGTTTTTACACCTGCTCGAAAAGATCGTAGAAAGGCTAAAGAAAATAAATCGGGTTAACTCATTCAAGAATTATTCAAGAAGAGGAAAAAAGTTGCACAACCGCAAAAAACGCGTCTATGGACATTTTTACGCTTGTAGGAGGTATTTTTGATCTGAAATACCTACACGTGTAACCTTTGAAATGTCACAAATAGTTATTTTTTATACAAGACGATAAAATGTTAGTTTATCGTTGACCCGAAAAGTTAATTCACGAGCGAAACCGCAGGTAAAGTAAGTCAAATAAAGTATTTCTTTACTTCCGGAAATTGGTATGGTAATGTATGGTTTTACTACCGGTTGGCGATAAAATATATTTATTGTTCCTAATTATTCTTATATATTTTGGACTCATTTGAAAGTACTATTTGAGGGCATTCACTTATAGTAGTTGTCCGATAGGATTTTAGGATTTTAGATTTTTAGGTTTTTTGGAAAAGTTCCTGTCACGCATGTCAGATGAAAGCGGAAGGTGGATTCAGTGACAAGACCAGCATCCATGACGTTAGCAGTTTTTCGGCTGCCATAATTTAGTAGTTTTCTCATGCTTTTAGTTCAAGTTTTAATAAAGTGAAAGTGCCGCAATATTACACTGCAGTTCTCATTTGTCCTGCCCGGAGCTGTGGCCGGATAGACGCCACAAATTGGTGACCCCGACGTGATTTGGGCAAAGCTCGTGAACTTTCAGTGCTATCTTTTTGTTTGGAACTGTTTCCGGAAAGTTCCGGCGTTGTGGTGAAATGTTTGGTGCCTTTGGTGGACGCTTACGCGCGCGATCACTCTCTCCTGATCCTAAAGCAAATCTCAACACTGCAGCGCAGCGAGTAGCAATGGCAGATCCTTCAGGTACCCTAGGTAGGCGTCAAATTGCTCAGGCTCGTTTAGCTAAATTACCACCTTCTTGGAAAGAAAACCCAACACTTTGGTTTTCGCAGGTTGGAGCCATGTTCGCGATTTCTCGTATCACTGCTGACACTACTAAATTTCATTACATTGTGACTAACTTAAACACTGAACCACTACCTTCTGTCTCTGACATTATTACAAATCCACCTGCTCAAGATAAATATGATACTCTCAAAGAGCGTTTGATTAATTCCTTCTCTGAGACTAATGAGTCCAAACTACGTCGAATATTCAGAGGCGTCGAGTTTTTCGACGAGAAACCGTCAAATGTCCTCCAACATCTCCGAAATTTGGCTGGCAACCAAGTAAGTGACACTGTTCTACGTACCTTGTTCTTGGAACACCTGCCTGAACAAGTTAGGGGCATCCTGTCCATCAGTGAGGTAGCGGATCTCACACGCTTAGCCCTGCAGGCCGATAAGATTATGGAAGTCACAAAGCCTTCTATATTTGCCATCGACAAATATCCCAGTTCCAGTGCCTCAACAACAGCATCTAAGCAATCAATCTCCAATAACATTGACCCGTCGGTTACTCTGGAAAACCTTACAGCCCGAATTTATGCCCTAACAAAAAACTTTGAACATCTAGATCAGCATGTCAGAGGCAGAGACCAGTCCAGACACAGAGCACGTTCACGGGTGAGAACATATTCCAGAAATCGTGATGAAGATGAATATTGTTTTTATCACCAGCGATTTGATGCCAAAGCACGCAGCTGTCGTAGCTCCTTGAAGGATAAACAACATCCTCAGTCGTGAAACTAGAGAGGTTTTCGGCGATAGCAATTGTATCCGAGGGCTACAATACAGCGTCCTGCTTGCAAATTCAAGACAAGTCTACCAGACTGCTATTTCTGGTGGACACAGGTGCCGATATTTCGGTTTTGCCCAAGAATAGTCTCAAGTCTTCTGTCATAACTGCAAAACCAGAAACAGACATGAAGCTTTACGCAGCAAATGGCGCAACAATCGATACCTTCGGAACTACCACGCTGACACTCGATCTGGGATTGAGACGCCCATATACCTGGACCTTCATTGTTGCTAAAGTCACTCATCCAATACTTGGCGCTTTAGATACCATGGCCTACTGGTAGATCTTCAGAGGAAACGACTTCTTGATGTCAACAGTTCGTACGGTGAGTTGGCAACACCCTTTCTTTCACCTTTTGAAGGAATTTCCTGATGTAACAAGGCCAGTAGGATGCAAAGTACCAATTCATGGAGTCCAACATCATATTATGATCCAGGATCCGCCAGTTGCGGAAAGAGCGCGACGGCTTACTGGCGACAAGCTGCAGGCTGCAAAGGCAGAGTTCAAGTTAATGATGGAACAACAACTGTGTGAACCTTCAAACAGTCCATGGGCCAGCCCATTGCACCTTGTTCCAAAAAAATGTGGCGGTCGGCCCGCATGTGGAGACTACCGGCGTTTGAACAAGGTCACAATTCCTGATCGATACCCAATTCCACATCTGCGAGATTCCACTTTTCAACTTTATGGATGCAACATCTTCTCCACATTAGATCTGTCTCGAGCCTATCATCAGATTCCTCTGGCACCAGATCGACCTAAGACTGCAGTCATAACACCTTTAGGACTCTTCGAGTTCAAGGTGATGACTTTTGGTCTTTGTAACGCGGCTCAGTCTTGCCAGAGAATGATGGACTCGATCTTTCGAGGACTTGATTTTTGCCATCGCTGATATTCTAATTGCCTCAAAGTCTTCAACTGAGCATGAGGCACATCTCCGCACAGTGTTGAACAAGCTGCAACAACACGGACTCTCAGTTAACATACACAAGTGTTTTTTTGCTCAATCAGAGGTAACTTATCTTGGCTACACTGTAGGCAGGAAAGGCATAAAACCTCCGCCAGAACGTGTAGAAGCAATACACTCCTATCCAAAACCACAGACGGTTGCGGAATTGCGCAGATTTCTTGGTTCTTGGAACTTGTTGATCTCATTCCACCAGGCACCAAGAAGAATGACAGGAGCCTGGTGCTGTGGACCCCTGAGGCAGATGAAGCTTTCGTTCGCTGCAAGGAGCTTCTTGTCAATGCCATCCAGCTGGCATACCTAGCACCTGAGGCTGAGATTTCACTCCACTGCGATGCTTCTGACAAGGCTATAGGTGCTGCATTGGATCAAACAGTCAAGGGCATCACACAGCCTTTAGGTCTCTACACCAAAAAGCTTTACAAAACTGAGAGGGCTTACAGCGCCTATGACCGCGAATTGTTGGCTATTTTTAGGCGGGTGAAGTTTTTGAAACAATACATTGAAGGGCGTAACGTGACAGTCTACTCTGACCACAAACCATTGTCATATGCTTTTACATAGAGCTTCGGGAAAGCAGCGACATTTGCAATACGTTAGTCAATTTACGAAAAATATTGTCCATGTTTCTGGTGAATCCAATATCGTTGCCGATGCGTTTTCAAGGATCAACGCAATTCACATGCCTGTCATTGTTTCCACAGCAGAAATTGCTAACCACCAAGCAAACGACGAACAGCTTCGACATCTGCTCAGCTCTAATACCACTACATTGCAGTTAAAAGAACTAAGAGTTGACAACACCGAAACGACTATCTTCTGCGACGTCAAAGGAGATCGTGTCCGCCCCTACATTCCTGTGGTACTACGACGACACATCTTTGACAACGTGCACAACTTGTCACATCCTAACGGACGAGCAACTAAGAAGCAGATTCAAGAGCGTTTCGTCTGGCCACACATGAACAGAGACATCATACAATGGGCACGGTCCTGTCTACCTTGTCAGCGAAGTAAGGTTTGGATTGATATTCCAAGTGAACGCTTCAATCATGTTCACATGAACATTGTCATTATGCCACTATGCCAAGGTTACAGCTACTGCATGACTATGATCGACCGATTCACACGTTGGCCAGAAGCTATTCCCCTAAAAGATATCTCAGCAGACACCATTGTCAACATTTTCTTCAACGGATGGGTTTCCCAGTTTCGATTCTCAAACCAGCGGTGCGCACTACACAGCCGCAACTACGTACATATCCTCCGGCCAAGTCCAAAAGAGTTCAATTCATGGCTACTCATACTTCGCGCCACTCAGGGGGGGCTACCTGAGGGCACTCACTTATAGTTGTCCGATAGGATTTTAGATTTTTAGCTTTTCAGGAAAAGTTCCTGTCACGCATGTCAGATGAAAGCAGAAGGTGGATTCAGTGACAAGACCAGCATCCATGACGTAAGCAGTTTTTCGGGTGCCATAATTTAGTAGTTTTCTCATGCTTTTAGTTCAAGTTTTAATAAAGTAAAAGTGCCTCAAAATTACACTGCAGTTCTCATTTGTCCTGCCCCGTGGCCCGATAGACGCCACATATTTTGTACACGTAGCGACATCTATGAATCTTCTGAATAGTTTTCCTAACCTAATATCGAGAATTCTCTTATTTTCGAGAAACCGGTGGCGCTGTCTTTTTTATGATTTTGACAAGCTTGACAGACAAAGAAAGAAAAGAGAGAACCATTTTGGGTACTTTTGACTTGTCCTTTTTTTGTCTTAGGACCGAAAGAGGTCGTCCAGATTTTGAAAATTTTAAAAATCTTAAAACTAGATCTTTGTTTTTGGCCATCGAAGCCATATTTTTGAAAATTAACTAGCGAGAAGAGTGCTTGATCGTGTCTACTAGAAATTTTCCCGGAAAATCAACCGAATGTTGATTTTTGTGAAGATTCTGAAAAGTGAGGTTACTATCGGCCGTTCAGGCATGTAAATTCCTTCTCTCTGATGAATGAGTCCTTATATTTCCTCAATTCATTCAGGCACCTTCGGCAGGACAAAAAATCTGTGCCTGCACTTCTCCAAGTGAAAATTGACAAATTTGAGACGACGCCGTCCTGGAAAATCAGAGCAAATCTGGGCCCCCTTTACAAAGAAAGTTTGTGTCCTATGAGAAATTGATCCTCAACCATTATTTGGTTGTCTCCAGCCAATTTGATACCTCCAGATCTCAAATTGATGAAAACTTCCGAGGCTTTACAAGGATTCGGTCCAGGCTTGTATAACTACTAACCGTAACTTATTTTTACCTTTTCTTTATCGCCCCCTATCGTTTAGCTTCATTAGCTAATTAATATATTTGTAAATTTAATAGGGTATTTGCATCAATTTTTTTTATTGCTGATTTCGTTAGTCCATGAAAAATAAGTTAACACGTGTTTTTTCTTTTTCTTCTTAGTCAAAAATTGACGGAGATACAACGCTATGAAATATGCCCATGACGTCACTTATCATATAAATTAGTGACGTTGCACATGCTCAGTATATCTATATATACAAAACTCAATATTTGTATAACTTCCGGAATAATCATATTTGGGCGAAATAAAAAAAAAAGTAACGATTTTTTTTCGATTTCCTACAGTTTGCAATAAACAATAATCAATTTAATTTTCCATGCGCTAACTACTGTTTAAATAGAATTATTAATTTAATTAATTAATTCTTATCAGAGTCAGATATTGACTTTTATTATCGTTTTCTCTATCATTATTTATTATCCAATAAGTATGCATTATTATAAATTTATTTCCGTAATATCGAGTACCGATCGATATCATATTATTGTGAATTCATTAACCTTTAAAAGGTTTAGGTTTGAAAAAAACAGTCTTGAAAATCCTAAAAATTCTTTAATTTGTATACTACCGGTTTCGAAGCTTCAACGCTTCATCTTCAGGCATAAAATGACTAAAAATTGAAAAGTACCAAATGAGCACACGTTGGATTCTCTTCAATAAATCAATCAACCTCTAAACGTGGTTATATAATCTTAATATCTAAAAACGGTAACTTACATATTTAGTTCATGAGAGTTGTCAAATCAGGTCGATTCGGAGCAACAATACTAGAGCATTAGGCAAATTGTCATTTTAGTCTAAAAAATTCGAGGAAAAAATTATTGAAATTGATTAGACGTAGAAATTAGATACATTGTCAAAGGATTGGAAGTTTTACATCGTATTATTAATACGGATAATATTACTAAGAGAATCCAACCTGTGCTCATTTGGTACTTTTCAATTTTCAGTCTTGTCATGCCTGAAGATGAAGTGTTGAAGCCACTGATCTCAAAAATAAATGGATAAACAAATAACGCTTCTAATGCTGCTAATTTACGAGGTCTTAATGTAAACAACAACAACTGACTGGGACAGCTGTGAGCGTGCGCAGTAGATACATGTACTGTGCCTCCACAAAATCTGGCCAATGAAAATGAAGGAATTTCAAAATGTAGAACAGTTTTTCGAAAGATAAAATACTGCGCAAGCGTTGGGCTGTTCCGTTGCACAACAACTGTTCGTAGAATATTGACCCCAAATTTTCGCACAAGTTTAGCCAATCGAGCCGTATGATTGCTTATCCATTTATTTTTTAGATCAGTGGTTGAAGCTTCGAAACCGGTAGTATACAAATTAAAGAATTTTTGAGATTTACAAGACTGTTTTTCTTCAAACCTATCATCTGCGCAAAAAATGGACCACATACAATCCTTTTAGAAGGTTTATTTAACTTTTAATTTCAAATCAATAATGTGGTAGTTTCACATCGTAAACTAATGTAAAATCTTTAGGAAGTCCAATTTT